GATATATATATATATATATATATATATATATATATATATATTCTGAGTTCTCCAGATAATTATTTTTTTTAAATTGTATTTTCTTAACTTTGCTATGACTTGACACAATTCAAGATTCCTTATTGTTTTAGGCTTTTTAGGCTATCTGCAGATCACCAATGCTTTTGACTTCTCCCACACTTTTGTGCTTTGAGGAGCTGTCATTTGCCCCGGGTTTTTCACTCACTTTGGAGACTGGTTGAGGTCCTTAGTACATGTGTATTTCCCATGATGCAAGTACTGTCAGTGGAGTAGAGCCACCAGAGTTTAAATCAAAATTCCATGGGTTTATTGAGAGATGGGAACAGCTTAGAAATCTCTATGGTGCTATGGTGTTTCCCAGCTTCCTAGAGTAAGGAATTAAAAAAAAAAAAAAAAAACACCCAAGCCTCTGCCAAAAATTGCACTCCTAGGTTTGAATCTTGAAACAAGGAAAAGGATGTGCTCATTGCAGTGGCATATTTTTCATCATTTGATGTGATGAGTTTCTTTGTAAAAGGAAGCTTTAGGTGCATGATATTGTGGAGACCAAAGTTATGTGAAGGTTTAAAAGAAGAAACTGGAATATGATTAGTAAACACATTGGGCAGAATAGAGCTAGATTCATATTGACTTAGTTATAGGTCATCGGCTGGCAGTGCAATGGGAGGAAATATTTACTTTACACATATACTTTATGATCTTGGGGGAATTAGAGGAAATTCAATAAGAAAATGGCTAGAAACATTTTAAACCCTTATTTAAAAGACTTACGCAAATTAGAGTCTTATCAGATTAAAAACCACTACAAATGTAAGAGCATTGTCTTCCAAGAAACGCTGTGGGGTCTGAGAAGGAGATTCTCCACCAAATCTCAGGGATAAAATGCGTCATTTAAGTACCAGATAATGAGCAGAATGTAAATTAATTTAACCTTCTTTACCAACAGGCTGCTGGTGTAATATGTATAATTTAGTGATAAGATTGCAGGACCTAATATAGCTGAATGTATGAGCCTTGGCTAATGCAGACCTGTCACATGGGGATGTGTTCTGCTCTAGCAGGTGTGTGTGTGCATGGAGTGGTCGAATTGAAATAAAAGGTTAAAATCACAAATCCTGATTTTAAAGCTCACTATGAAGAAAGTTCCTTCTCATACCTAAATTCTTCTTAAAATGGGATGACACTTTTAAGGAAAGACTAGAGAAGAAATAAATTCTCATTTGGTTTCTTGTACTACTTAAGCCTGTTTAAAATAGAGGACGTGTTAAAGATAAGGTTTTTTTTTTTTTTTTTTTTGGGGGGGGGGGTGCAGAACAAAAGGAAGACCATAGGTTACAAACATATTTGCAGTGTGTTTCATCCACTCTGCCCCAGATTAAGTTTCCCAATCTTTTGAACAAGGACAAGAAGGGGGCTTTCTGAAGATACCTAGCACTGGTGTTGCAAATCATTGACTGTAATGTCAAACAAATACACATTCAGGGATGATAACACTAACTCCACAATAAAGCAATCGACAATGCAGAAACTCAGGGGAGATTAGGATATGCTCTCTAGCTGACCTAAAACTAAAGGGCAAAAGAAATATTTTGAATGACGTGTTTGGATTTCTTTCTTTAATTTCTTTGGAAATAGCACTGTAAAGAGTTGACTATCCCCAAAGGCAATCCTTTGCTTTATTTAAATAAGTAAGGCTTTGCTTTTTCTAATGTGCTTTCTTTTAGGCTTCTCCCCTTAGCCCACACACTACTGCCTCAGCCTCCCTTGGACTTTAATGATTCAAGACAGCCTTGAGCTCCCTAGAAAAAGAAAATGACTGTTTAAAATCATCCTTGAAATTGGTTTTTTGGCAACATTCTTAATTGTATGGAAAGTTATTAAAGTGTATTTCATAGATAATTCTTTCAAGGTTGTTGATTCTACAGGATTTTTGGATTTGAATCTGATTGATAATAAAGTAAACAAGAGAGTCAAAATTTAAAGCGTGGCCCTCTCTCGAGTTAGAACAAGCTTAATACAGTGTACAAGGAATTTAAAAGATCTAGGATATGTGTCTTAATCAACTTTAAGTAGAATGGATAAGCTTTCAGCATTTTGAAAACGCTGGGTTAGGGTTTCTGTTCTATTGTGTGTTTTCTGTCTGGGGACTAATAAGCATTACAGAGAACGTGATCTGAGGCGACTTTTTATTCTTGTATAAATCCAGAGTGAATCACCAAACAGTTGTTGGTTTAAACTCAAGGTAATTTTCTCTTGACGGGTCCATTTGCTGCTCGATTTCTAATTTATTAGCCCGCCTTTTCAGGGCTCCGTCCTATTCCCAATTAAAGTAAAGCGTCTTCAGATTAGCGCAGCATTCACTTGACAGGCTGTTCAGAAAATTTAAGATAGGAGAGGTGATTTGTTGTTTGTCTTTTGAAATTTCTTCTGCCCATTTTGTATAGAAAAAAAAAAATCTAGATTGGAAATGGATGTGAGACACAAAAGGAAGGAGAAGGGGGCTGGCTGCCTTTTTGATCCCAGTTTTCTTCAGTCCTCCACCTTCTGTCCCTTCTAGCCTTCTACTCCCGGCCGCATCTCTCCACCTCCCAGCCCGAACTAAAAGCCGGATTGTCTTCAGCCGGGCGGGAAGAGTTCCCGGGAGCGGACGGGTATAGACCTGGTGGGCACAGAGAATTAGCTCGGCCCAGCACAGCTGATAGGTGCAGGCAGGACAGTCCCTCCACTGCTGTTCAGGGCCTCCTGATTGGTGCGAAGTCACGTCACTCCTGCCTGGCGTAGGGTCTAGGAGGAGACAGAGGCGGGGAGGGCTGGAGAAGGCTGGAGAGGGCCGCGGCAGAGTGACGTCGCTGCACCAGGAAGCCCGCCTCTGGTTTTAAGATGTTAGGCCAACAGGGAAGCATCAAGCCGCAGAGCTAGTCCGTCGCTCGCCTGGGTGCTGGGAGCAAAGCTGCAGCCAGACCCGGCTGGAGCTCGACGGGCCAAGGGGTGTGCATGTTCGCGCCGCAGAGGGTGCTCCGAGAGGCCCGCGCCGCCGCCGCCGCCACTGCGGGAGATCTAATATCAGCTACCTGTCCCTGTCACTCTTGACACTTCGCTGTCAGGGCTGCTACGCGGGGGGCGGGCAGAGCTTGCCTTTCTCAGCGCCATCAGCGTTTAGCTTTCCTTATTGGAGGGGTGCTTCGGAGAGGGCGGGAGGGAGGAAGGGGGTCTTTGCCCACTCTTGATTCGGTTCGGAGCTTGGAAGCCAGCTCCCCAAAGACCCTCCGAGCTGTGTCCTCTTGCCCACATCCCCATGTCTCTGACCGCTGACTTTCGGCTGCTGGACTTTTTCGCTTGAGCCATCCGCAGGAGACCAGGGCGGCCCTGCTTGAGGACTTGGCGGGGGTTGCTTTGCGGCAGTGCGCGTCCCCTGGCAGTGCCCACGGCGGTGACGGCGGGGAAACTCCGAGCCTATAGAGCTACCAGGAGCGGGAGACAGCGGCCACTGGGGCTCCGCGGGGCGGGAGCCTGGGACTTGTAGGCGGCCCACGCTCTCGTCCATGAACTGCATGAAAGGCCCGCTGCACTTGGAGCACCGAGCAGCAGGGACCAAGCTGTCGGCAGCTTCCTTGTCCTCTTCCTCTTGTCACCATCCCCAGCCGCTGGCCATGGCTTCAGTTCTGGCTCCCGGGCAGCCCCGCTCCCTGGACTCCTCCAAACATAGGCTGGAGGTACACACCATCTCCGACACCTCCAGCCCCGAGGCCGCAGGTAAGGCGCCAAGCCGCCCCGCTGGTGTCCCCGCCCAGTCTCCCCGCGCCGCCAGGCGCCCACTGCAGGTCGTGCCCCTTCTAGGGGGTCGTGGTGGGAGTAGGCGTCCAGCTTGCTGTCCGTAGAACTTCCGGAGCCAGGGTTCTGATGACCTCCAAGTCCCTTTCTTACAATTCTGCCACCCTATATCTTCTTATCCTGGCTTCCCTTCGGTTTGCTGGGTCGCAAAAATCCCAGCATCTCCATTCGAGGAAGCTCAGAGACCGCCTTTCCTCTGTCCCTGTACTTCTCTCGGCTTTCAGCTCCGGAATAGAGCCACTCAATAGAAAAGTATTTCTGAAACTCCGCTTCAGAAATACTCTTCGCGACGAGGCACCTTTTCTAGAAGGACGGGGGACTTGATTGCCTAACTGAAGCCTAATGTCTGCATTTCCAAGCTTTCTGAAATCGCATCGCAATTTGAGCTTTCCACTAGGGAGGGTCTGTAAATCGTGCACGTGTGCGTGTCCCGGGAGAGTTGATGTGTCTGTGTAGGGGTGTAAAAAATACACTTGAAGGAACTGGCTATAAAAATGACTGTTCCGCGGTGCGGAGATAAACATGTAAATAACACGTGCGGCGCTGGGGGAGGGGAGAACACGGGGCGCGCGCTCCCTCACAAGTCCGCACACCCCACAGACGCAGCGCTCCCTGCGTCCCTGGACGGGGCACTACTCCCCCGGAAAGCAGGCCGGCTTTTCTGAGACCTCTGCCACCCTGTCCAGTTGCAGTTCGTAGGTTGCGATTGGACTAGCTGACGGGAGCTTCTGTGTGTTTCGTTTTCAGAGAAAGATAAGAGCCAGCAAGGGAAGAATGAGGACGTGGGCACCGAGGATCCGTCCAAGAAGAAGCGACAACGGCGGCAGCGGACACACTTCACCAGCCAGCAGCTGCAGGAGCTGGAGGCTACGTTTCAAAGGAACCGCTACCCGGATATGTCCACGCGCGAAGAAATCGCCGTGTGGACCAACCTTACTGAAGCCCGAGTCCGGGTAGGAGCCCGCAGGGAGCCTGGAAGGGAGGGGTGGGGGCGTTGGAGAGACGCACGTATTGTAGATTACTAGGGGGAGAGGAAGGCCGCGCTGTCGAGAGGTGGGGGGACACTGTGGGAGAGCCTCTTTAAAGTTAGAAGGCACTCGGCGGCCCAGTTTGCAAGGTTCCAGCTCCCCTTCCGAGGCCTGGCCAACGGCCTGGGGCAGGACCCCGGAGTGGCCCGGACGCACTGCCCCGCCGCCATGCGCCCTCCCCGGCTAGGCCGCGTGGGCATTCCCCTACGCAGGGCTTTGTGTTCCGAGCTTGCAATCTCCAGGCAAGGGCTAAGAAAATTCCTTCCAGGCCAGGAGCGGAGAACAGGCTCCAACCTGTATGTCTTAACAAGGAAAACCCTCCTGAGACACAGAAGGTTTGGTTCTCTCTCAAAAACCTCCCGGAAAGGAACGCCACGGCTTTTTCTCTCTCGACTCCCTCCTTACACGGTCTTTGAGGGTTTTCGGTCATTCAGTTCTCTCACACCCTATCCTCTGGTTTTATGATCTCTGAAAGGAAAGTTTAAATACCCAAATACTGCTTGGGTGTATGTATACACACACACACACACACACACACACACACACACACACATATATATATAATTTCTTTTTTAGAAAGAAAGAAGAAAGAAAAGCTTTCCGTTTGGTTTATTTATCTTTTCTCAGGAGTTGAACACTTTGGAATTTGTTCCTAACACCCACCTCCTAGTTATAATCATAGTTTTATTTAAAAAGAGAGAGAGAGAGAAAGAAGGCTTACCTTAACTTTGTAGCAAATCTGTATTTTATGCATTGGCAAAAGTAAGCATAAATAAAGTACTCAATAGCAACATCGTGGTTTATCCTTGTCGGTGAAAAACTCCAAATTGTTAGGATTCTGGATGCAGAAAACAATCAGGATCCATATTATATACATATACAATGGAGAGAAAAATAAATGCCCAGTTAGGTAAGAGAAAGCAGAAAAGAAGGGGCGGGGGAAGGAAAGAATAAAGGCCAAAATGCACTCCCAAAGCAGAGGGAACCAAGGCTCTCTGTGGGTGGCATTTGTGCAGGAGTGAGTCTATGCTGGTGGATAAAAGCCGGCATGAGGTTGAAAATGGTTTTAGTTTAACTGCGCCGAGCGAGGGCTCCGGCTGGAGCCGAGTGGTTTTGCGCAAGGTCAGTCTTTCATGATCTCGCCGACTCGTGAAGGGAACGGGCCTCGCACGTACTCTTCTCTTCTGGGCAAAGTTTAGACCGCCTAGAGTAGAAACGAAGAGTAATTAAAATTAAAACACCATCTTCAGGTTCTCTGGGATCTTTCGGGAAAGCCTCCTCCCCTCCGGCTTGTCTGCATCCGCTTCCTGGCCCCTTGCCGCCGCCGCCGTGCTCGGTTCTAGCTCTCTGGCTTAGTCTTTCAGGCGGGTTGCCTGCCTAGCCAAGTGGGAGTAAGGCGTGCTTTTTATAGCAGTCGGGCGCAAAAAAGGAAGAGGGATAAAAAGAAAACCAGAATGAAAGGGAAAAAGGAGAGGGGTGCGGATTAGGCGTCTGGACCTGGCGGAGATGTGTAATGTGAAACATCACCGATGTCAGCTCTGAGATCTCCGGCCAAACCTAGCTCCAATACACAAAAGTCGCCGTCTGGGGCGACGGGCCGTCCAGATGTGGATTGGGAAAGAGGTTGCGGCGAGGCCACGGGTCGCGGGTGGGGGCTGGCGGGCCTGGGCAGTAGCCTGCACAATGGAGAGGCGGTGCAGGGCTGCGCAGAGCGCGCGGGCCTACCCTGGGTGGGCGGAAGGTGAGCAGGAGCCGGCGAAGGAAGGAGGAGGAGGAGGCTGCCGAGCGACCGATTCAGGGTTCCCAGAGATTTACATGCCAAGCTTGTGGCGTTTAACGAGCTGTCTGGGAGGTGATCTTTTGCTTGTTATTTAGATGTTTTGCTAGGCTGGGAAGGGGATGGGAGTTGCGGCCGGCGCTGTTGAGGACATATGTTCCAGAGGGTGGGGAGCAACAGCCGAGGTCCAGGAGTGGAGAGAGGAGGTGTGTGGGAGACCGAGCTGGCTGCTGGTGCCCTCCCAACCTCTCGTCTTCATCACTGGTCTTGTGGCTTTGGGATGGAAGCAGGTTTGCAAGGTGACCCGGCAGGGGTTGCACCGAAAGCCGGCTGCCCCACGTTTATTTTACATTAAGTGATTTTGGACCTGGAGGAGGGCCTGGGTCAGCGATCAAGCGGCCCGCAGGCTGCCAAGCCTTGGGTTGGGGTTTGTGGCGCAGCTCAGAGCCTCAGATGGCAGACTAGAGCCGCGTGGGGAAACCGGCAGCTTGGGAGGAGTTTTGGGGGGGAGGGGTAACAGGGCTGCGAGATTGTGTGTGTGTGTGTGTGTCTTAGATGGGGGTGATGTCAGGTGCTTTCTGGAATGAAGGTTTGACTAATACTCCTTTTGGCGTCTGTTTGCTCCCTAACCCCCCACCCTACCCCCAACTCAGGTTTGGTTCAAGAATCGCAGGGCCAAATGGAGAAAGCGAGAGCGCAACCAACAGGCCGAGCTGTGCAAGAATGGCTTTGGGCCTCAGTTCAATGGGCTCATGCAACCCTACGACGACATGTACCCCGGCTATTCGTATAACAACTGGGCCGCCAAGGGCCTTACATCGGCCTCCCTGTCCACCAAGAGCTTCCCTTTCTTCAACTCCATGAACGTCAATCCCCTGTCGTCACAGAGCATGTTCTCCCCGCCCAATTCCATCTCGTCCATGAGCATGTCCTCCAGCATGGTGCCCTCAGCAGTGACGGGTGTTCCGGGATCCAGCCTCAACAGCCTGAATAACTTGAACAACCTGAGCAGCCCGTCGCTGAATTCCGCTGTGCCGACGCCGGCCTGTCCTTATGCGCCACCGACTCCTCCATACGTTTATAGGGACACGTGTAACTCGAGCCTGGCCAGCCTGAGACTGAAAGCAAAGCAACACTCCAGCTTCGGCTATGCCAGCGTCCAGAATCCAGCGTCCAACCTGAGCGCTTGCCAGTACGCCGTGGACCGGCCTGTGTGAGCCGCACCCTCAGCGCCTGGAGCCTAGGACCGTGCCAGACTGGGCAACTCCGACCTTGAAAGACTGGGAATTATGCTAGAAACTTGTGGGCACTAAAGAGATGGAGAGAAAGAGAAGATTGGAAAAAGGAAACCACTGAATGAAAGAGAGAGATCCTTTGATTTCAAAGGAATTTCCTCAGTGTCTGACATCTTCACTAAAAAGTATTTCCAACAGTTGCAAGGACACACACATATGTATGTATGTGTGTATGTATGTATATATGTATATATACACACACACATACACACAAATATTTGACTGGATATGACATTTTAACATTACTATAAGCTTGTTATTTTTTAAGTTTAGCATTGTTAACATTAAAATGACTGAAAGGATGTATATATATCGAAATGTCAAATTAATTTTATAAAAGCAGTTGTTAGTAATATCACAACAGTGTTTTTAAAGGTTAGCTTTAAAATAAAGCATGTTATAAAGAAGCGATTAGGATTTTTCGCTTGCGAGCAAGGGAATGTATATACTAAATGCCACACTGTATGTTTCTAACATATTATTATTATAAAAAAAATGTGTGAATATCAGTTTTAGAATAGTTTTTCTGGTGGATGCAATGATGTTTCTGAAACTGCTATGTACAACCTACCCTGTGTATAACATTTCATACAATATTATTGTTTTTCTTTTCAGCAAATATGAAAAAAAAATGTGTTTTATTTCATGGGAGTAAAATATACTGCATACAAATTGGTCTGGATTCTTTTTGCCCTCTGTCGCCTGCCCAGGGCTTCTCAGCCACTGCCTCCTAACCAAACCAGTCCCCTCTGCTTGCCCAGTTAAACACACAAGGCAGCAGTATTCAAATTGGGTAGAAATAAATTACAGCCATTCATCACAAACTTTACAAAAAAAAAAAAAAAAAAAAGGCACTCCCAGAAAAGAAGACTGCAAAGTGTCTGATCTTGTCTCTCAGATTTTTCTTTGGCTTAAACCCAGAGGATTCCATCATTGCAAGCAAATACTATAAGAGAGAAAGAAGAAAGAAATTTACAAAGTAAGCCAGCTTGGAATGACTCTCAAGTTTACTTCTTTAGGGAGAAAAACCAGCACCTCCAGTAAATTGTTCTGGAGAAGTATGTGTGTATGTATGCATGTACAGTTTATATACATTACTCTAAGAGGAATACATCTATAATAAGTTTACAAGGAAACACCTCTGGTTCAAAATATTTAGGCCTCACGTTTATCTTTCAGGCTTAAGTAGAGAGATCCTTCATGTTATATTGCATTACTATTTCTAAATCCTTTTGAGACATTAAAAGAAACAAAGACCATTTCTAATAACCACAGCCCTTCAGTTTCTCAGAGAACCCAGAGGTTGAGAGGTTAGAGTGGAGTTTCCTGAATCTTGTCGAGTAATATGTAGTTGAGGCAAAGGTCACGCTCCTCATGTTTTGTTTTAAATAATATTGACCCATTAATTCTAAACCTGCTTGTTCCTGAAATTATACAGGATTATAGTTTGCAAACTTCGGGACAATGAAGCAAATCAAGATGAATTACAGCCCTGGCCCTCCCTCCCATCTTTTGACATCTAAACTGAGAATGAGGTCGATCAGAATGTTTAAAAGAACTTTAAGCACAGGCTTCTCTGTTGGTGGTTTTCATTCCTTTTTTTTTTTTTTTTTTTTAACTTTTTAATGAAATTTGATTTTGTAACAAATAGTAGCAAATACGATTTAGTCCCAAAGTATTCATCACCGTAGCTCTAGGAGGGTCCGTAGAGAAAAAACGTGCTGAGTTCTTTTGTTAATCTTGTCACTCCTCCGCTTCCCCTCCCGCTCCCCGGCGGGCGAGGACAAACACCACCCTGGGGAACCGAGAGCGAAAATTAGCCGCCGGTTCTCTGGAGCCGAGAAAACCTGTGTTTTTGCGCTTAGGCTGTTTTTATCTGACTGAAACTTTACCTATAAGCTTTTGGAATTCAGACACTGAGCCTTTGTTCTGCATGGAACCGTTGCTGGCATTTAAAGAGATCGTTCATAATGTCCCAGATTTAAGATCAGTGCTCAATGCACATTAACTTTTTCTTTCTTTCTTTTTGAAGCTCTGCCTTCGACCTGCAGCGGGATCACGCGGCAGTGGGGGGGGGGGGCAGGTTAAAAAGCCCTTTGGACGGGGGTCACCTCCGTCCTTGTTGTTCACTTGAGAGCAGTGGAGAGGAAAACGGTCCCCACCAGCGGACTTTGGTTTCTGGAGCCGCGGGGCCGGTCAGTCCCGGCCTCTTCCAGTCGCGGCTCGGTATGGGGGGGGAGGGGCGGCGGGGGCCATGGGGGAGGGGGCTGGGAGAGGGGGTTTGGGGAAGGGGCTGGAAGAGCTAAGGAGACCTGCTGGAAGGATTTGCGTCCCCTGCAGATCCTACAGTGACTTGGGGGTGCTGGAAAGAGGAAGTGAATCTTGGCCTAATCTGGTTGCTGAAATAAAAAACTGTACACGAGGAAATCAATCACTCTGCAGGAAACAAAAATGGAAGTCGAGATTTGGGCAGAGATGTCACTTCTCCGACCAGAGTGGTGCGAGCTGGGGGCGGAGACTTGGGACAGAGGAGAGTCCCTTTCTCCCACCTCAGTTCCTTTCCTTGGACCTCCAGCAAGAAGACTTAGACCCTCGCCTCGCCCCCTCCTTCTACGCACCCATCCCCGCCGGTCCTTGGGCCCCTTTCCACACCTCTTTTTTTTCCCTTCGGACTAGAGAAGCTTAGTTCCCCCAGCCGGTGAATGTCGGTTCCCTCGTCCTTCCCACTCCCACGCCCATCCCCTTCCAGCCATCGCTGCCATCACCTCGGTTCCACTCAATCGATTTTTGCTGCATGTCAACACTTATTACCGGTGAGTGTGAGGGTATTTTCTCTCCTTCTCTAGGTCTCTTAATGATTTCTGAGCTAGTTGTGTATTAAAGTGCTTAAAGGAACCTTTAAGGTAATCTATAGCATGAACGCTAACCTCCCCCGCTCTGGTTCAAAGATGGCGAGTGCGAGGTCCAGGCCCCCAGTAATCAAGGCCTCTCAGGCCTCAGGCCAACGCCACCCACCTTCCAGCGCGCAGGGTGGGCAGCCTGGCCTGGGGGCAGGAACCCCAGCGCAAGACCTTTGCAGTCGGAGGTTTTCTCCTCTCCCTCACCTCTTAATCGCACCTTTCCTCCCCGCCTCTCTCCTGTTGTTTTATTATATTCTTGTTGAATATCTAAGACCACAAACTCATCAATCCCCAAAGGCCGAATTCAAATCGGTGGAAACCTGGGAAAAGCGCTGTTACAGCACACATTTGTTTCCGTTCCCTTCCAGCTCCTAAATTTGAATCTCAATATGCATAACCCGGTTAGAAATTTAATTTAAAAATGTATTGGGGGAGCCTGAGCTCACAGCGGTTTGATTAAGAGACAAATCCTTTTCCTTTTTGTCTCTCCGCCTTTTTCTCACCCCCACGCCTTTCCTGCTAGGTGACGAAACCCGCAGGAGTCCCTTTATGAAAGTAACAACAACAAAAGAAATAAATGAGGAAAAAATAAACAGCGTCTTTAAAAGTCCCTATATTCCTCGAAGGTCCCATAAATTAACCTGTGAAGAGCGACGAGCTGCTTTAAAGCAAGTCTGCAAAAGCTCGGCGTGATCTCGAAGGTGGACGACCTTCCCTCTCCCACCCCCGTCACGAATATGTCTAAACAAAGGTTTGTCCTGCAATCCACATCCTAATCCACGGGCGCCCCCGGCGCTGTCGCCGCTGCTGGCTCCCGACCTCTGGCCGCCGGCACCGTGCGCGGGCCACGCCGGCAGTCCTTAGCTCGCCGATTTGTGGTTTTCAGAGAAAAAAAGGAGGGGCTGTAATCAGATCAGAGGCCTTTATGAATATAGACTCCCTATTGATTGATTTATAAAACCCCCGGCAAACTGCAGTTAATCTAAGCACGTGGGAAGCAAGAAACGTGGCTGATAGAGGGAGGAGAGGTCTCCAAGTAGGTGGGAAAACTTTCTCTTAGCAGATTTCCAGGAGGAATTAATAATATCTCTCTCCTAGTCAACTTCGCCTGGTCTGACAACTGCATTTTAATTCAATTTGACAAAATTATATTTCAAGATGAGATTTTTTTTTTTAAGTGGGCTCATTGGAAATACGATTGTAACCATGTAAGTGATTTGTCTTTTCAGGTTTTAGCAGAGGAAACTAGGGAAATTTTACTCTAAACTTAGGAGTATTTCTCACCCTTGGGACCTCATCCCCTGTCAAGGAAAGCCTTCTCCTTATTGACTTTCTATCCAAAAAGCCAGAAACAAAAAATGATTGAACTTGAGATACCTAACTTCATTCACTTCTATGCTGAGCATTTTACACATTTTATGTACATGTTGACTTTAGATTTTGTGTGAAGATTGGAGAAGGCTTGAAAGAAATAAATATAACATGGAAGAGATGATTAATTCTACTTAATTAACTTAAAAAAAAACTCATTGCTACTCCTGTTGTAATGATGTATTAACAGCTATGTGGCAGTTGTGGAAAACGGGAGATTATTGAGACTTAAGTTACTTAGAGGAATGGCTAAAAGAACCATCTACAGTTGTTTTTATTTTTAACATTTAATAAATTTATAGTAAAGGTGTTCATATTTTATGAGTTTGTATAGGGGCACTGCTTTTTTTTCCCTTCCCTCAGAAGGGCTAAGAGAAGTTCAGACTCACTGAGTGTGGGCTCACCCTGGACCGGGTGTGTGTGTGCTGAGACTTTGATGGATCTCTCCAGATCTGATTCTCCTAGTTGCTTCTTTCACAAAAAGGTTCAAGGTGTTTCCCCACTCCCCTTCCTTCTCTTTCTTCCCCTAATCCCTCCCTCTCCTGTGTTCTTTATGCACAGCAAAGTTTGTTACTGTTCTCTCAACTTAGAAAATGGGTCGCTTGGTGCTGGGACCTGATGGACTAAGATTAAGCCCTGAGATGGTTTCCT